TGAGCCTCTGTGCTGGTGTTTCTTTCACGCAGCACCAGCGGTGAGCTTCATACAGCTGGACACCAAGAACACTGAGCTCCGCTCCCACTCTAGAAGGCGTGAACCTAACACAGCAGGCTCTCCTACTTAAGAATCGCCTGGAAGCTCTGTTGGAACAGTAATCAGGCCCCTGCTCCAGAGCTCCCTATTTGGAAGGTCTCAGGTGGGGCCTGAGACTCTGCATTCCCCACGCTTTCCCAGGTGATACTGGCACTGCTGGCCGGGGACCACATGCTGAGAACCACTACCTCGGACATTCCCTGTCTGTGTTTAAAGGAGCTGCAAAGCAGTCCCCGGACAGAGCAAGGAGAGCGGGAATTCTTACAGGTATCTGTCATCATAGCCTCTGGTCAGTCGAGGCAGAGCACAGGCGACCTTTCTCACGCACACGCTCTTTCAGGGGAAACGTGGGCGTGACTCCTCACGTGCGTGGTTCCTGCGTGTGGCGGGCAGTGAGCTTCCTAGTGGATGTGACACAAGTCATGAGGGATGGGATTCAGGCAGACGTCACACCAGCGCGCGTGTGTGCGACTGTCTGTCGCCACTGCTGTCAAACAACTCGGAGACATCAGAGGGAACAGGACGCAGGTGCGAGGGTGATGGGCTGGGGCGGGTGAGCTTTGATTACAAGAAATCAAATAACCCTGGGCAGCAAAGCTACGCCAAGCCTGCCTGCAGCGCACACGCTGCCCCATCTGAGCTGGAAGAGGGCCTGTGCTTTGCCACGGGTTATGGGCTGAGCCCTGCGTGTTGGAGCAGGCGGGGGCGGGGGGGGGGGCCAGCAGGGTTAGTGTCGCCAGCAGATGCTGCATACATACCACCCAGGTGCAAGTCGACGAGCTCACTGTAACAAGACTCTCCCCAATAGTCTACAAGGAATCGGTGAGAGAGTTACTGATCAGACACCCTCCTGTCCCCCAGCCCCAAGCAATCAGTGGCCTGCAGCGTAAGAAGCACCCAAAGATGCAGCAGGTGGATGAAGGGCAGCAGGCAGAGCACGCATCTCCCTCCGAGGGACTCGTGCACACTCGTGGTGTACACACACATGCTGCAGCTGTAGGCCTCCTGGAGGGACAGGTGGCACAAAACCACAGGGCACAGTATGGACAGCCAATTACTGTGCAATTCCTGGTTACACCTCCAATCAGGATGGAGGTTTTGGCTCCGCTGGGACTCAACCTCATCCAATTAAGAAAACTTTAAAAGATTCAAGGGCAGATTAGGGCTACTGACTTCCTTAGTTTCCGAATTTCAGGAGCCCCAAGCTGAGGGGCTGAAGGTAAGATGTGAACACTCTAAAGAAGCTGTGCCGGGACCCCAGCCCTCGGCTCACCCACAGCACGGGAACCCCAGCCCTTGGCTCACCCACAGCATGGGGACCCCAGCGGGCAGCAGAACCACTTTTGTTGGATGGGTTTGAGATGAAGGAGACCATGTTTCTTCTGAGCCCAGGCTCCTCATGTTGCCAGCCTCCTCTAAGGGCAGGAAGCCAGTGGTGACTATCCAGGCAGCCAGCATTTAGCTCCGTGGCGGCCTAGCCAGAAGCACATTCTTCGCTCACCCGGGACCCCAACACAGGCGCTGCTGAGGGCATCCCCCTGGGACCATAAACAAGCCCAAAACACAGAGTGTTCGCCACCCTCCCTCCAAACCACAGTCTGACAGCTGGCCCTGCAGCACCTGGTCCCACTCGAGTGCTCCCCTTCGAGGGCACATGCACCAGAAAGCAAGAGGTAACCCTCTGGTGGCTCTTTAGCTCATGCTTGAGGCTGACCCTGAGTCAGGGTTCCAGAAACAAAGAAGGCTTCCCCGGTGCCCCCAGCCAGAATCTGTGTGTCTCAGTCTTGCCAAGACTTGAAGGCTCTGAACCTAACCTTGCAGTCCAGATGTGCAGGAGCCTCAAACATGTTGAGGTCAAAAGGCTGGCACGTCCACCTCAGAGTTCTTCTCTGCAAGGGCAGTGTGGCTATCAGCCTGACCCCTCAGAGAGCCTTCAGGTGAGACCGAGCGGCCGGCTCAGGGAAGGAGCTGACCAGTCCAGAGGACTCCGGACCGCCCGCTCAGTGAGAGCCAGGCGCAATGTGCAAAGTTGAGCCTCAGAGACGAGCTCCGCAGGGCAAGGACAGAGCCACTGAGGCTTCTGACAAAAGGGAGACTAGGAAGCGATGTGCTTAAAACAAAAAAAGCAAAGTAAAGCATTTGGAAATACATTCCTGGGGTCAAAATGCTCCATCTGGAGCATTTCCCAAATGTATCATGGGAATCTCCCAAAGGAGGCACCACAGCCCATCTCTGAATCAGGAGACGTGTTTCTGGGTAGAGGTTGGGAAGCCTTGCTTAGCAAACTCTAGACCAGAATAGTGGCTTGCATCCTGCTCTGTGGAACCCTCAGGTCCTTCAAGGGGTGCTCCAGCACTCTCCCAAATATCCGATTCACAAATACTTTTAACTCATCATTGAAAAGCCTGAATAAGACACACCACATTCGAATCTTTGATCCGCCAACTTGTGACTCTCGGAAGCCCACTGACACGTTAATCTGTGCTGCCAGGTAAACTCGCTTCTGTGAGGCCCTCAGGACCAGGCTTCTTCCACCCTCGGTGTGTGAGTGTCTGTCCTGCCTGTGATGTGTGGGATGAGGACACGTGAATGGTCGATTTCAATCCCGGCCTGCAAGCAGAGTCTCGCGGGGAGCCTGCCGGGGGCGTCCCGCCAGGGGTCGCAGGAGCCACAGCACACAGCACAGCAGTTCTGTTCTCTGTCCGTCTGGGAGCTTTTATCTGAGATCCGTTCTTCGTAAGGAATTTGAACTGCTGTTGGACTTGTTAGTGATTCCGCTGTGAGAACAACTCCCGCTGCTCCACTTACAGCTTCGAGCACCCAGACTTCATGCTGCTCACGTCCTAAGGTTCCAGAGCTGCAGACAACCTGCCCCCGCTTACAGCAATGGCCTGTGTGTGTCACCTGCATCCAGTGAGGGGCTGGATGCTGAGGTTATTAACCTGCGTTTTCAAATTCATGTTTACTAACACTTGATTTTTTTTTCACTTTGAACTTGAACTTATAACTTGGTTTGTAGAAAACCATTCTGCTGCTGACAAGTCTGAAAACCACTGACTCAGATGAAAATCTGGTTGTATATTTTTATGGAAGGGTAATTATCTAAATAACTAGAAAGGAGCATTTTGGCAAAATCCCAGGCCAATCTTCAGCGGTTTGTCTTCTCTGACCCCTGGGCAGGCAGCAGTCTGAGCATCTCGGCCTGTCATGTAAATACTGTGGGGCCACCAAGGACAAAGGCAGGGCAGCCAACAGGTGCACCAGTGCCTCATGGAGCCATCGACCTGGGCGCCCGCCAGGAACGCGGAGCCTGTGAGGAGCAGGCAGGGTGTCTTCCTCGAGGACCTACTCTGACTGTGACTGTGACTCAGTGTGGGGAGACCTACCGCACCTTCCACCTGGGCAGGAGTGATCTGCAGGGAAGGTGAGCGGGAGCGTCGCCAGGCCAGGTCAGGTCCCTTTCGGCATCTCTGTCCCTAGAGCGAGCAGCAAGCGCAGGGCCTGCGGGTCCTGTTACCGCCGGGGCCGGGCGTCTCTGGTGGGGTCTGGCCAACTTCCTCCAGGGCTCAGAGCATGCAGGGCAGGGAGCAGAAGCAAGCGTGGGGGGCCTGCCAGGGGCACGCCTGCTCCCGGCACAGGGGCCGCTTGCCTTGTGCGCACACACCCCCGGCTGCCGGCCTCTTGGCTGCTGAGTGGGTCAAGTTTCCACACCTTGTCTGGTGGCCTGGGCTTCGGCAGTGAGTCAAGTGCCAGGTAAGGCACAAACCCAGGACACCACAGCCTCATCTTTCTGCCTGGTCCCACTTCTTCACCCGAAAATCATCCCTGAGTCAACCGTCAGCTGCATTTCATGGCCGTGAGGGGCCTGGAAAGGAGACCCACTTCTGGGCCTGACCTGACTGTGCCCAGGAGCAGCGGTCACCACGAACGCATCTGATACTAGCACTCACTCAGCAGCCAGCCACCAGTCAGTATTCCAGCAAGAGCACAGGCAGCAACAGGCTGCATTCATGGTCCTCCTGGTCCTCTTTCAGTCTATAGACAGCCTGCCCACCTGGAGACCCCACCGCTCTGTCATACCAGAGTGAGGGAGCAGGAGGGGCTGCCACAAATCAGGTCACTGCCTGTCTGCATCCCAGCCCCCTGGCTGAGGCCCTGCTCTCCACAGAGGGATGGAGGCTCCCTATCCAGACCCCGGACTGAGACCCAGGGCCTCTGGAGAAGGCAGAGGGTCTCCCCATGCCTGGGCTGGGGCCACAGCTGGGGCCGGCCCAGTGGTTTCAAGGGCCTGAACCAAGAAGGCTTCCTTGCTTTACTGGAGTCCGACTTTGCTAGGCCCACTCATCAGCTCTGGGGACAGCAGCGTGACAGCAGCCCCGTGGTTCTGCCCTGGGAAGCACAGTCACCAGCACAAGGCCCTCACAGCCACTTCCCAGGGTCTCCTCGGTAAGGGCTCTGCCCTGAGTGACTGGTTCCAGGACAGAGCCTGGGTCCACACTGGGAAGTCTGTGTTCTTGGCCACAGGAGAGGCCCTGTGGGGTCAGGAGGGGCCCTGTGCGTGCAGTTCTGTGATGGTTCCTTGTGCACAGCCTCCCTCGTTCCCAGTCAATCTCCTCGAGAAGCTGATGGGAAGGGGTGGGAGTAGGGAGGTGGCCCAGGGTGCCAGCAGCAGAGGACGGGGAATGAGGGGAGGGCGAGGCCTGAGATGGGCGGAGGGTAGCCACACACAGGTGCCTTCCTGCTCCTCCAAGGATCAGAAGCCCCAGGTCTCAGTAACGAGGGGACCCAGAGAACCTGCTGGAAAAGCAGCTGACTTCCTGGGAGGCGTCGTGACACTAGCCTCCCATGGGGTGGGTGGCTCCCCATAGGAGAGACCTCTTCTCCAGGGACCCAGGCTGTACCTGCTTCCCCTCGGAGCGCCTTCTCCACGGCGACCCCTCTCTCCTCCAGCTGCCGCTGTTTCTCCTCCACCTGCTCCAGCTGCCGCTGGATGATCTGCAGGCAACACAGCAGGGTCAGGGAGGGAGGCGAACAGATGCGGTGGACCACTGGGGGCTGCTCGGATCGCTGCACGGAGACTGCGCATCGCATCCGGCGGCCTGCCAGGCCCTTCGCTGGTGAGCACCGCAGGCATGGCCTGGCCGACGTGGGAGGGCCAGCCCCTCTCGGGCAGGTTCTGGGAAGGAAGCAGTGGACGCCTGGGGGCAGGTCCTGAAGGGGAGGTTCCTACAGTGCCAGTGCAGCTCCTCAGTCTTGTAGAAATCCTGTCCCTGCGTCCCGTGGATGACAAGCCAGGACCTGTGTGGAAGTGCGTAGAGGACCCCCAGGAGATGGTCCACCCCAAAGCAGCAGCTGATGACATTTTCACACAGAAAACGAAACACAATGCAGGCACCCAGTCACGCAGGGTACGCGGACCCAGACTGAAGTCCAAGGAAAGGACTAAGAAGGACTAAGCGACAAGGGGTCCAGGGCGAACTGTGGCCCCAGAGGGACGTCTTCATCAGTGCTGACTTGCTGTTGGTGTTTCTCATCGTTGTGGACTTGATTACTGTGCTAATCTTTATGAACAGAATCATGTACATGTGCTTTCACCTAAAAATCCACATCGTATTTAGGTATCTTTTCACACTTTGCATTAAGAAATTACTTTTTGCAAAAAAAAAAATCTGGAATGGCCTGGGTACCACAGGATCTCTCTGACCTCTAAATCCCAGCCCCATCAGAGGCCAGTCGGTCACTGCTGCCTACGGACAGCAGCTCTTGCAGGTGAACCGGCTGGCCTCACAGCGACCACCCCAGAGCTGGGGGTCCAGGAAACTCAAGCTCAGCTCCTCCCTCTGCCAACAAATACCCCCAGACTAGGCTGCTGTGGTCCCATCAAGGCAGGGGCTCAGGTGAGGGACAGCCCGCCTGCTTTTGCTCTGCCCTCATCTGCACGGGGACCAGCTAGGGGGAGGAGGTGGCTTTCCCTACTCACCTGGGCGCGGTGTAGACGCTTTAGCTCCTCCTGCTTGGCCTGCCTCCGAGCTGCCTTCTGCACCCGCCGGGTCAGCTTGGCGTTCAGCTCCTCCTCCGTGTAAGTTCTTGGCTGGAGGGAGAGAGAAGGGCTTCCTCAGTTAGGTGTGCGCTTGTTGGCAGGGCGTGGGGACCAGAGGGCAGGCGAGGGCGAGGCGTGTGCAGACACCCAGGCCCTTGTCCCTGTGGGAGCCCCACATACCACAGGGCACCTGGAAACCTGCCTGGAGACACTCCCCAGGGTGCAAGGACAGGAGGCTGAGTGCACACTGACTGCCAGCAAGTTAGAAGGACAAAGACCAGCATCTTTATCGCTGGGCTCACTCATTCCCATGGAAGGAGGTCTGCTCTATTCAACACTGCAGGGGTAAAAGCGCTGGTCAGTTTCCCCAAGCCTCCTGCTCATAGGAGGCATATAGGGAAAGGAAAAAGAAAAACAAGGATCCTTCTGTATGTGTGGTGTTGAAAGTCACTTTCTTCAGATGAGCGCTGTTTACAAGGTTCTCTTCAGACGTGACATCGGAAGTAAACAGGGATGCTTCTATGTTAAGTCAGAGTGAACCCAAACTAACTAATGCAGGCAGAAGAAGGGGTGAGGTGATCCTGGACAGACTCTGGGGCCTGCACACTGAGAGGAGGGAGGACATGGTCTGGCAGGGCTGTGCGCCGTCAAGAACCGAGGGGACATCTGGCCAAACACAGTGCAACTGTGAATGACTGGGGTGACTGCTGGGAGGCAGATGTCTCCAGGAAGATAAAAAAAGGAGCATTTATGGACTTTAAAGGAACTTGCAAATTCAACCCCTAGTGTATCCTGCCGGCACGGACAGCAGACTCGGGGTTCCAGCGTCCCAGGTGTCTGCTCTGCAGCTCACGGAGCCCAGGACTCGTGAACTCCCAGTTCCTGCAGCGTCCAGTCCCCAGGACAGCCCTGCTCCCCATGGCCTCTGGGTGGAAGCAACACACATCCTCCAGCCTGCGGAGAGCAGGGTGTCACACCCTCTGTCCTGCGGGGCTGGATGACATGGTTGGTGAGGGTGGGGCTGGCGGGCCCGCCGGGGTGGGGGGAGTGGGACAATGCCTTTGGTACCCACCTTCTCCTGAACCGAGGCATGTGGAACATAAACCAACTTTTAAGGGGATGTGATGGGAAACAAAACAGAACAGCCATGGGAACAATTAAAAATTAGGAACAGAACACAGAACGGGGCAAAATCAGCTAGAAGTTTAAAATAAACACTTAACACTAGGACACACAATTACTTTTCAGTGTCACCCAGGACAGCCGAGTGTGGGCTGGGGGTGAGACCCCAGCAGTGGCACCTCAGTGAACCCATCTGAACAAGGCCTGGGGGTCACTTTGCTGATGAGAGAAGCTCCTTCCTCACTTGCCCCAAATCTCCTCTGCTTGCTCATCAGTCTCCCTTGCATGTAAAGTGACCATTTCTCCCTCAGCAACCCATCTTGCTTGTGCAAGTTCAGACTCCTTCCTCTAGCGAATGCCGCAGGGCACCGGCTGGGGGTCAGGCGACGGGAGACAAAGGCCAGCGCGAATCAACTCCGCATCTCTCTCCCGGTGGTGTCCCTGGGGGCGGCACCTCCTGCCTGGACACAGACGGCTCGGATAACCGACACCCACCGCGAACACTGCGTTTTGTGGCACCTCTTCTCACCCACTGAGCCTCGAGCAGAGCAGCCTCGTGGGAGGTTAAAGGGCAGGGTGGGGCCGCTTCTCCAGGCCGGAGGGGCACAGCTGCTGAGAAGAATCCTGTGCCTCCCAGCCGGCCTCAGCTGGCCAAGGACACATCCTGCCTCAAGCCAGAGTGAGAGAAGGGTTTCATTGTCATCAGAAGACAGCTAAAAGAGGAGACAGGCAGTTTCTCCCGAGGCAAAAGAAAAACTCCACAGGAACTGACAACAGCAGCCCGAGACCAGCACTTAAGTATTTAACAAAAGGGGCCAGTGATTCACTGACTCCAGGGGCAGAGGGATGACACCTCCACCTGCCTGGCGGGACGCTGCCTCTGGTAACAAAGTCTCTCTTCCTGGGACAGAAGCACTTTATCCTAACAGCTCAGGGGAACCAGGCACCGGTGACGCCACGGAGACCCGTGAGATCACGGTCAGACATCCCGACCCGCGTTTGTTTCTACTGTTTCTCTGCCCCAGCACCTGGCCCTCGCCCGCCCAGCGCCACACCATGACCCCACGGCCCACGCGCAGCCCCGCTCTCCTGCGTGGCCTCCAGCCGAGGGCTCTGCTGTGCAGGACACACGTGGGATCCAGGGGAAGGGCACCTCATCCTGGAGGCCTGGGAAGGCTGTGGTCAGAGTGATCCTGAGATGGGCCCTGACCACCAGAGCAGCACAGATGGACACATCTGACCAGCATAAGATGACGCCTGTGGGCCTGCCCTGCAGCAGTGGACCTCGTCCACACTCAGCCCTGTCATGACCCCCAGGGCCCCCTAGGCACGGCCGCCCCCAATGCCAGGACAAGATGGGAGATCCACATGTCCCCAGAAGTGATTCTCACGTTGGTACCGGTATTACTGCTGGAAAGCACGGCAGGGAGTCCCTGGAGGGGAGCACCCTTCCCGCCCCGGCCTGTGCACTGGCTGGACTCAAAGCTCGGGGCTCATGCAGCCAGGCCCCTGGGGAGGCCCCTGTCCAGCCCAAACTGCATGCTCGCCTGACTCTCAGACGGGTGGGGTGGACGAGAGGCCTGGGTACCCCCAGGACAGTGGGTGGGCAGAGCGCTACGTGGCTGAGGGGGGCGAGCAAACAAAAAACAGGCTGGGAACAAAAGGCTTTGTCCAGTTCCCACGTTACTGGAGAGGAAACTGGGCCTGAAGGAGTCGCCCCCCCTGAACGGGCACTGCAGGGCTGTGATGCGTGGCTGCCCTGGAGGGCAGTGCCCAGGGAAGACTCCAGCACAAACCCTGGGAACCCTTAAGGGAGATGCTTGATGTTCCAGGGGAATTAACTCAAGAAAGGGAGCTGAGGAGCTGGGCTGGGACCTCGGCCTGGAGGGCAGGTGTGGGCCCCAGGGCTGGACCATGGAGACAGCCCCCTGCTGTGTGTCACCAGCCTTCCTGGACCGCAGCCCCCACCCCATTGCTGTGTCTGAGACATGGGTGCCTGGTGAGAACTTTCTGTGACCCCTCCCCGCCAGCTCCACTGTGTCCAGAAAAAGCTATGGGAGCCCCTAGAGGTCACACGTCGGAACAGACGCCCAAGTGACTAGCGATGGGGGTGCCCCGCACACAGACGGCTCACTGTGCAGGACAGCTGAGGGGCCACGCTGTCCCCAGAGCCTGGGCCATGAGAGGGGACAAGGCAGACCCACAATGCCTGACTTGGCACAGAAGCAGGGCGGGTCTCCTGGGCCCGTGCCTCAGGAGCAGAACCTCCTCTCAAGTCCACAAATGGATATAGAGGACAGGCTGGCAGGACCCCTCCTCAGAGACCAGCCCACCCCAGCCCCCTGGGCACTGGCAGGCTCTGCCCTGCAAGGGAGTTTCCGGGACAGAGGAAGGAACGACAGAGCCCACAGTGAATCTCTGGACACGAACATCTGCCTGCTTTACAGGGAGAACACACAGCTCTCGCCACGGGGGAGAGCACCTTTCCTGCCCTGGCCTGGACACTGGCCGGGCCGGGGCTCAGCTGCGCGTGGGTTGGGGTCAGACAAGGGGCTGAGCAGCACACAGAGTTGAGGCCCGCGGCCCACACACCTCTCGCCTGGACTTCTGGGAGGCCCTCTCAAGGACGTCATCGCTGGAGAGGTCCGAGTCCTCCGAGCAGCTCCGCTGGTGCCGCGGCCGCAGCTCTAGGGAAGCAGAGGCAGAACAAGGATAGTGACCAGCAGCGCCGGTGCCCCCAGGGGAGTGGGTGGAGGGGTGGTCTCTTCCCAGTCCGAGTCCGCCTCAGGCTGGGAGCCACGAGCTTGGACGCTAACGCTTCCGGGCAGCGCAGAGCCCAACCGCACAGATGTGCCCCGGCCCAGGCTGCACACGGGGGCATGGGAAGTGGGTCTTTCAAGAGGAACTGCAGGGGCTCTGTCTGGGAGGGGCCCAGGAGCCGCCCTACCTGCTCTCACGACAGGAGACGCCCTGGGCTGGCTGGTGTCCACGGTGGCCCCACTGGAAGGGGTGCTGGAGCAGGACCGGTCGTCCCCCTTCTTCTTCCTGTCCCGCCGGTACCCGGAGAAGACAGACTTCCACAGGGACCTGGGCTTGGTGGCTACCTCCTCCAGAGGGCTGGGGCTGGGCCTCTCTGGGGGCTGGCCCTCACCCTTGGGCTTCTTCTCCTTCTTGTTTCTGCGGGGAGAGAAGAGTGACGACCGCTTCTTGCTCTTCCCGCTGGAGCCCTCAGACGAGGTGACCGAGCCGTCTGGGCCCCCTGAGTCCGAGGGAGGGGACAGGACCTCCTCACTCACGGCCTCGTGCCTCAGGGTGGGCTCCGCAGGGCCCTGGGGGCCAGGTCCCCTGCCCTGAGAGGGGCCAGCGGCAGTTCTGAGGGACACAGGGGTCTGGGGGTTCTTGGGGGTCGTGGCCACCGTGTCCTCCTTCATCCGGCTCAGCTGCCTGGCCATGGCATCCCTCAGGGCCTGGCTCCTCACAGACTTCTCCCGGGCCCGCATGCGCTGGGTGGCCAGCTCCTTGGCTTCTGCGGAGACCAGCGGCAGCCCCCGCTTCTGCAGCTGGGCCCCACTCTCCACTGGCGGCCCCCTACCGTTCTCCTTGGCCTGGGGCAGCTGGGGTGGCTTCTCGGGTAGGGCCCAGCAGGAGGGGGGTGTGAAGAATGTCTCCTGCAGACTTGAGTCCTCTGTCCGGTCGTCATACGTGTCCTCCACATCGTCCGCAAAGGGGATCTCGTCCACGCTCTCCACGAATGACTTCCGTGCCTCCTCACGGTGGGGCTGGGTGGGTTCCCGGTGGGGCCGAGTGAGGGTGACTGGTGGGGGTGGCAGGGCTTGGGGCTCCCCAACGAGGGCTGGCTTCCTGCTCCTATGAAGGGTCGCGGGCTCTTCGTCGGGGGGTGGGGGTGGTGGGCTGGAGGGGGGCGTGAGCATGGTGGAGTCCGAGGTGTTGAGGCTCTGGCTGCCTGGCGTCCTGGTGTGGGAGGAGCTGCCCTGCAGGCCCAGCCCAGAGCTGCTGGATGGATCTCTGTGCTCCTCCCGTGAACTCGTCAGCTCCCTCTCGGGTGGGGACCCAGGGGTGGGGATAGGTGGGGGCTTCAGGAGATGGAGCCCTTCACCCTGTGGGGACTTCTCAGCTGCATAGACCTTTGGGGACACGGGCTGGAGGGTGGGTGTGGGGCCCCGACACACGGGCGTGAGCCCCAGGCTGCGGCGGATCTCAGCGCTCTTCATCCAGAACTCCGCCACCAGGTCGCTGCGCCTCAGGGCCTCATCCCCAGCGAGGGGGCTGCCCAGTGTGTCCTTGGTGTCCCCTTGCCTCTTCGCGGGGAGGGGGGCCAGTGGGGTGGATGTTCTGGCTGGCACGGGCTGGAAGCGTATAGGGGACACAGTGGGGGACGGCACAGTGGCCTCGGAGGAGGGCTGGGGCTGAGAGCAGATGGGGAGGGAGGCCAGCGGGGACCGGTGCTGTGGGCTGGCAGGCGAGGGTGGCGTCCTGGCTTCCGGCTGTAACTGGACAGGTGGTCCGGCTGTGGGCTCCCCCTGGGGGGCTGGGGGCTCAGGCACGGGGCTGTCCGTGGGTAGCCCCACCCCAGTGGTAGCAGAAACAGCAGAGACCAGCAGGGCTCGGGCGCTCTGTGGGAAAGCAGGGTGACAGGAGCTGCTGAGAAGGCTGGGATCTGTCGGCCCTCAGAGACCCTAGCGTCATTCTCGCCAACCTGAGCTGCTGTCCTGGGGCTACGGTCAGGCGCCAGGACGCCCCCCTTTCTGCTCTGTTTGCCAAGCTTCGGAACCCTTCGTCCAGCGAGCACACTCAGCCTTCAGGTTCGGTTCACCCCAAGTGCACTCTGTGTCCTTTGGGCACTGAAGGGCAGCCCTAGACACTCACCAACCCCAAGAGCTCCAGGATCTCCGGCGCATGAGCACAGGGCCCTCCAGCGTGAGGGATTCCGAACAGCGTTCATTACAGTCGGTCTCACAAGTGTCCCTCTTGCCCCTTCCCAGCCTCATCTCAGATGAAATCACCTAAACCACCTTGCTCCTCAGGGCCCCAAAGACCAAGCCAGCAGGAGCTCTGTCCTCCCTGCTCTGTCCTCCACATGGTGTCTCCTAAAACGTGCCCACAGAACGCACTGCATTTATGTGGCGTCCTGCAACGTGTGGTTTAAAAACCACTGATCGTCTGGGTAAGGATTTTTAATTTAAAAATCATACATTCATTTTGACATAGCATTAAGGAGAAATGCATGTCTTACCAGACCAGTGATTCCATGCATGTTATTGCTTTAACTTAAAAATCAATTTATTTTTAACGTGGCATGATCTGTGGACACATAGAGAGGAACAGTGGTGTGGGATGGGTACACAGCAGGCTCAAGGAGGTGCTGCCCAGATTGAGCTGGAAGCCCAAGGCCACTCCTGTTCTAACAGCTCCCTCAGCACCAGAAGCAAAAAAAAATGGGTTCCCACCCAGGGCCCCAAGGGGTTCCCTCAGCTCTGCCTCCTTAGGGAGTCCCAAACCCTCACCTGTGCCCCGGGGCTGTGGGCTGGGGATGGCAGGGCCGCTTGCTCCTCAGGGGGCCAGATGGGGCTGGAGACATGAGAGGGACCTGAAAAAGCAGATGCAGGATTTGCAAGAGGAAACGCCTCCGCCTGCTGGGGGTACAATCTGAGTCCAAAGATTTGGGGTAAAAGGGGCAGGGCTGTCAGCCAGGCAGGGGAGGAAGGCTTCCCCAGCACAGCACACGTACCTCTCTCTCCGCGCCCTGCTGTGGCGGGAGGTGTCTCCTCCCCGCCTTCCGACACCCTCAGCTCCAGCCTGGCTCCCGCCGCCGCCTGGTGCTGCACCTGCAGCTCCGTGCCGGCCTCTGACAGGGATGGGGCGTCGTCAGACCAGTGCTGATCTGGCAGAGGGAAGCAAGCACAGACCTGGAGTGAGTCGTGCTCCTTCTCAGGCTCCTGGCGCCATGGAGACAGCCCTTCAGGCCATCAGCTGCAGCCTGAGGTCCAACCTGCATCGGCACCCCGGCCGGGCCCTGCACTCTGGTCTCCCAGCCTCTGAGACTCAGCTGACAGCACGACGTCCTCTGTAACATGGAGCCCCCAGGATGCCAGTGGTGCCTCCACCGCCAGTGCCAGGCTCCTCACCATGGGCCTGGACTGTTCTCACCCCTGCAGTCCCGTCCCTGCCCGCCCTCCTCACGGCCTATCTCCTGGCACTAGCTTTCCGAGGGCACCTGCTGGATTAAAGGCCCTGTAGAAAGCCCCTAATCTGCTCGGTTTCTCCCCACAACCTGATGAATGCAGGCCACGTCCAACATGGGTGAAAGGACATGCATTCAAGTTAGTGGCAGAACAAGGAACAAACGAGGAGGCTTAATGGCCACCAGCTCTGGGTACCTTACTTTTGCTTTACTGTGCCTTCTTTCCCTTCCTGAGCTCAGAGCACTTGGCTCCGTTCCGGGGGGTGGGGGTGGGGGTGGGGGAAAGGCTCTGGGGTCTCATACCATCGTCCAGCTCAGCACCGGTGTCCCCCGTGTCCCCGTTCTCCACAGCCTCCCCTTCTCTCTCCACTGGTTCTGAGTCCGCGTCTTCCTCCAGCTCCTCCTCGTCAAAAGGAGCTGCAAGGCAGAAACGTTCAAGAGGAGGAAGAGAGGGAGAGGGACAGGCGGACACCCGGCAGGTGGGGAAGCGGGAGTGGTTCCCCAGGGCTCCAGGTGAGGAGCCTGAGGAGAAGTGGGAGGTGCCAGAACCGGGAGCATTCTGAAAGCGGCAGGGCTGGCAGGGGGGCCCTCCCTCACAGCAGGGCAGAGCCCAGGCCGCCAGCTTTCTTCTTCCTCCAGCTGCTGGAAGAGCCTCCGCCTAAGCAGCACGGAGGGAAATGCTGCTTCTCAAGCCCAGGCCCAAGCCCTGCGCTGACAGCCTCATGTACACAGGTCCCCAAACCTGCACAGGAGCACATCTGGAGGGGCCGTTTCTAACTCTGCCTTCCAGGGAGGGACCAACGGTGGCTCGGTTGCGGCCCCATGCTCAGCCCGGCATCACAGTGTGCACCTCCCAGGTCAAACGGCAGGCGCTGCAGCCTCCGTGGGCTAATTCAGACACCAAGGGAGAGGGACGAGGGTAGGTAAAGTCTGTGTCCTGGACTCCAGAGCAGCCCTTCAGCACCACAGTCAGGCAGGGCACTAGCCAGCTTCACTGCTCCTGAGAAGGCGGCAGCCCCGACACTCACACGCACACACACGCTCTCGCCCCGCTCCCGAGCCCTGCGCACGCGGGACTCAGACTAACGGTTCGGAGTAGGAGATCATCAGGAAGCAGCAAGCAGGGCTCTGGGGGAGCCGTGAAGCGCCTGTGCTGCAGCGCCATCTCAGTTCAGGAGAAGGGGCTGGCCGTCCGCCTGCGCACACGGCTGAGGGTGAAGCCCAGCAGGCCGGGCGGCACAGGGGCCCGCTGGGATGCGAGGCCAGGCCACAAGCCCAGCAGCCCCGCTACGGCCATCTCCCAGCCCTGCGAAGCTGTGCCCTGGCATCCAGGGCTGTGCGGGGACCGTAAGCAGCCTTGGGGTCAGAGCCCAAGGACAACCGGAGACGGGACGGCTGCGATGGCCACTGGAGGCAGGCACTTCTAGATGCTGGAATGTCTTTCCTGACCCAGGGGCAGCCAGGTGAGTTCTGGAGTTGGTCAGCATCAGCGCCAGCTGTGGGAGGCCCGCAGTCAGCGCCTCCTTCTGAGACCCGGCGCCACCCGAGGAGCTGGCCACGCCCAGACGCCCCCTCTGACGGCGCTGCTGCCGGTGGAAGTACTGGAGGGGCTCTCACTCATCTCCACGGACTCAAGCCTTTATGAGACAGCCCTGCTGCTGGTCACTCAAGGAGGTTGGCCCGTCAAACACCCAGGAACGGGACTCCTGGGACACAGACAGATGTCTCAGTGCCCCTCCACCCTGAGCTCTGCTGGACAGCGAGCTCACTGCTGCACAAGGCCGCTACAGTGGGAGGAGGATCCGGTTCAAACAGAACCTGGGCCCTCCCGCGGAAGGCACCCACTGTGCCTGCGTGCATGCTCGGATCAATCCATGATGGTAAATTTACACTTTTGTTGGCAAGTGCGCTGGAAGCAAGCACGACACGGGACTCCTGCCTGGCGCGGTTCAAGGTGCTACACTGGAGTGGCCTGATCCCAGTCCTGGCCCCGCGGCCCCCTTGCGGCTCTCCTACTCTGAGAAACGTCTGCCGTAGACTCAGAGAGTTAGGGGTCTGTGGTCCCCAGGGGTACCTTAAAAGGAACGACTGTCACACATGTCAGAAAACGAACAGTGAGAAGCATTAGTGCAGCAGCAGCAGACACAGCCTGAGGGGTGGAACCAGGGTTAATCAGGTCCAGGCCGAGGCGCAGCGCAGGCTGGGAGCGGCCGCACACTGTGGAAGCCAGGAGTTGCCGACACACTTAGCTCTTGGTCTGTTTCAGCTGCCAGGTGAGAGGCCCTGCCACCTCAGCCTTGCCCAACCGTCCCGGGGACACAAACTAACCAGGAGAGAGTGACCAGCAGTTTCTGTTCACAGAGCCAAGGGCCTCAGGTCAGGCTCTCCTCTGGCTGTGTGTGAGGGCACCTCTCGTCGTGTGACCCTGAGGGCAAAGGACGGGCCGGGAGGCCTGGGGGTGCAGACCCACGAGCTCCAATCCTGGTCACCCTAGAAGTAACCAGGGTGACGCTGCCCTCGTGCACGTGGTGCCTGACACTGCACAGGGTGTTTCTGGTTGTCCTCATGACCGGTCGATGTTCAGAGGGTGGAGTTACGCATCCTACTGGATGCCAGTGGCCCCCTTGCTAAGAAATGCCTCCCAGAAAGGTTTACCAAGGACACTGGAGGGTTCTGAGCTCCCTCCTGGCCCGAGTGCTGAGAGATGCCTGTACCTAGGTCTGGAGCCCCGCCTGGCCCCCACTTCTAGCTGAACACTGTCCACCAATCCAATCCTCCGCTCCCCCTCACACCAGCAAGTTCTGCACCAGTCTCCCGAGCACTCCCCTCGGCACTCTGGCGGGTCTGCAGGGCAGTAAGTGGCACCTCCATGTCGTGCCCAGCTGCCACCCAGCTTCATTTCTGCAGACTTTAAATCTCAGGGCTAGGACTTAAAATGGTCCTTCAGTGTTGGTCTCTACTCCATCTCTGCCAGTAAAACAGAGTTTTCTCCACCCTGTCCACACACTTCTCTCCTCTGGATCTCCCCCGGAGGGCGTGGGATGTGTGTCTGGTCCATGCAGGGAGGGGCTGCCTGAGTGAGGCGTGCGCGTGCCCCCACCCTCCGCCCTCGGCATGCACTAGCGGCAGGAACAGAACTCCAGTGTTAAGGTATCAGCAGAGCTGCTGAGAGAGTGGTTACGGTGAGTGGGCAGAGAACAACATCACCAGACTACCTCCGGAGACCGCCTCCAGCCAGGCCTGCACCGCTGCACGGCGTACGCAGGGAAGGTCGGGCACTGAATTTAAAACAGACGACAAATAAAAAGTTACACAGGAATAGGCATCCTTAGTGAGGAGAGGTGAGGTGAGGTCGTCCTGAAGTCCACAGCAGAAGAGAGACGGACGACGCCACAGCCCGAGGCCCGGCCAGCACCGCCACATCCCGTGTGTGCTGGGCATCAGGACAGGGACAGGAGACAGAGCACAGGGAGGGTCAGCATCAGCTTGAGGCCGCAGAGTGTACCCAGCTCCAGGCCAGGCTGACGCCCCTGGTCAGCATGGTCTCCCGGCCCCTTGCAGGGATGTTGGGGTCTATGTGGTTGCAAAATGCTGCCCGGAGGTGAAGGTGGCAAGGTCCAGGAAGGCAGGGACCACCCCTCTGAGCCCTGCGTGGAGTGTCCCCAACACGCACTGAATGCAAACACGAAGGTAAGTGAGCAGAAGACAAGGTGGAGACGGCACGCTGGGCAGCTGAGGTCAGGGGCACAGAGAGCGACGTGGCAGCCACGTACCCCCCAGCTGTGCCATCTCTCATTACTTGTTACTCCCTTAAAGAAGCCAGAACAAGGTTCACCTTTGTCCTGCCATGGAATACAGATCATCTGACCTAAAACCTAGAGCTGGAAGTTATGCTAGCTACTTCAGAGGCCTCCGTGACACACGCTTCTTCTTAAAACTGCATTTCAGTGCAAATGTGGTCCCTCAATGCCATCCTGTCAGGGCACTCACACCCAGACACACTCCGTGAGGAAAAGACCAAGTGGAGAAAGAGGAGCCTTGCCTAGTGACACAGGGGAAGGAAGCAAACTCTTGGTTTTCCCAAGGTCAAGTTCACTTCGCTGTTTCGCATCAATGGAGACGAGCCACAGCTCTTAGCTCACAGAGAGATGCGTCCTCAGGTGAAAGCCGAGCGCTCTGCTGGCTCTTACTTCTGGTCAACCTGGTGGCTCTGCCCCAACAGGAGAGCCCTCTGCAGGCCCGGGGGGGAGGGGGGCAGGGGACAGGGGGGGCCACAGGGATGGGGTCTGCAGGGACGGGGGTTCTGGCAGGGATGGGGGTCTGCAGGGAGGGGGTCTGGAGAGACGGGGGGAGCCACAGGGATGGGGTCTGCAGGGACGGGGGAGCCACAAGGATGGGGAAGTGTGCAGGGATGGGGCACCTGCAGGGATGGGGTCTGCAGGGAGTGGGGGTTCTGCAGGGATGGAGGGATCTGCAGGGACGTGGGGGTCGCAGGGATGAGGGCCCTGGGGCCTGAGGCAGTTACCTCCAGAAGGAGAGGACTCAGAGGCTGGGACCACTTGCTCCTCCTTGTTCTCGCGAATATGTGTCCAGTGCACGTCAGCCTGGATCTCCAAGGGATCGGCTGGACTTGTGTTCTGCTGTAGCCGCTGGCTGCCGGCTAGTGTGCCAGGTTCAAGGGGTGAAGGAGACGAGGAAGGGGGAGATGATGGGGAGGAAGGAAGCAGAAAATAAACAGTGAAGGGAGGAGAGAACAGAACCCACAGCAGAGGAAACGAAGAATCACCGCATTTGCCAGAATCAGTTTGAAGCAGAAAGAAACAAAAACTGAGAATAAGTGCATGCTCACACGCGCACACACATGCGCTCACACGTGCACACTTGTGCCTCCTACTCGGGCCCCTTGACCCAGTTGCTTCAAGCCTCACGTAGCTGGACTTGGATGAAGAGGGCCCCTGCCCCACGCCAGGTGGAATGTGCTTTCCTTTCTGAAGCTCTTTTCACCTTAACTGTGTGGAGGGACCCCTTTTTCAGGAGAAAAGAGCTGGCTACAGTGAAGGCCAGAAAAGAGCCGAGGCCGTGAGAATGTGGCTCTGGGCCACCTGCCATGTGACTACAGAGGGGGGGCGGATGTTGTCACCCTGCCATGAACCAGCCAACTCACACAGGACAGCAAGTCCCTCTGTGGGCACCCGAGTTCTCATCTTCGGCAGCTAGAGAGAGAAAAGCCCCTTCTGTACCAGGCTTCATGCAGCATGCTGTCTGAGGGGGCGAAGGCAGGGGGAGGGGGAGCAGAGCTCTGTCCCACAGGTCCCCAAAGTTCCAGGGAAGTTTTCCTCAAAACTCCCCTGAGTCCCCTCTGGACACAAGACCTGGCTTCTTAGCCAGAGGAGAAGTCGCCCGTGGCCCCTTCAGACTGTTCCTGCCCACGGAATCTGCATGCAGCCCTGCCCCGTGGCCCCCCACCATCCGTGCTGGGCCACGCTGTTCAGGTGGGCTAAAATAAGACACAGCCAGCAACTCGCAGGAGAGCACATGACGGGAGGAAAGTTGCTTTCCAGCAGCAAGAGCCGCGTCTCCTAACCCCAAGGCCCTGGGTTCCTGGGCAGCCGGCTCTCGACAGTCCAGCTGGACTGGCTTCAGCCTCATCACTAGAACAAACCACCTCCTCACGTCCAGGCAACAGGAAATGTGATACGGGCAGAAATACCAACAAGACCACCGAACGTGGACGGGGATGCTGCTCTGTCGGACGCGGGGCTGCAGTCCCGAGTGCGCTCTTGCGGGAGCTACTGGGACCTATGGGACCGTATCTAAGGTCAGGGGCCCCGACAGTGCTGGAAGACAGCACAGTCACAGAGAGCCCGAGTGTCTTTGGACAAAGAAGGCAAATAAAAGAGGAAACGCGGGCCCTTTCCTCATCTTCCAGGCAACCAAGGAAGAGAGTGAGCCTTCTCCCTGGGGGTGTCTGTTGCGGCCTGCTCTGCACGTGGCCTTGGGTTTGGGGCTCACCAGCCAGCATCTCCTCCTCTCCCGGAGACACATCAAGAGGCACCGGGAGGGGCTCTGGGCTGTTGTGCTGGCTCTGCCACCGTGAGCGCTGACTGGCGTGAGGTTTTCTGCTCATGACAGAGGAGAAGCTGGGTCTTAACTGGATGTGGGACGTGCAGAGGGGC